TTAGGGGACTGGAGGCTAAAACATACAATAAACGGTTGCAGGAGCTGGGCCAGGGGTGGGTTTCAACTGGTTCACGGCGGTCCCTGCGAACCAGTTGGTCAGTGAACCCGGAAGTAAGTAACTTCCGGGAACGGTGACTGGCCCGCCCGCCTGCGCTCCTTACCTGGTTTTGATGAGTTCTGCGCTTCCACGCATGCGCAGGACGCATACAGCGCCTGCGCGATCCTCCAGGAGCAGCTGGAGCATCGCACAGACGCTAGTACGCATGCGTGTGCCACACGCATGCCGCGCGCGTGCACGAGGATGCCGCCGGCCTCGTTCCAACCGAACTGGTTGGAACGGGGCGAGAAACCCACCCCTGTTTCAGGGGAACATGGTAGCAACCTGAACATCAAATGCAACTTCCAAATACCTTTATTTCTCAGAAGGAGAGAGGGAGGGAGAGAGAGAGAGAGAAAGAGGAAGGGATGGAGGGAGAGGAAGGGAGGGAGGGAGAGAGAGAAAGAGCGCCTGCTGAGTCACCTCAGGTAATCAGGATGAGCAAATAGCACTCTGAGCCAAGCACATTATTTTGTGTCTGACTATCGCAAATATATTTTCCCTTCAGTTTCCCCTCCCTTCTTGATTTTCTTACATCAAAATTATTTAAATAGGGATGTTTTATTCCAGCTAAAGAGGTTGCCAATTCACCTCTCTTTCTTAGATGAAAACATTCATGGCAAGCAATTTCTTTCTTCCAACTGAGAATGACCACGGCAACGGCAGACTTAGATTGAACTATACACATGCTAGTTAGTGTTGCCTTTTGAAGCAATTTATTCAATTCATGCAAAGCAGTTAAAGCACCTGTTCGCGGTAGTTGGAAGAGCAGGAAAATGACAGGAAAATGAGGCATCATTAGTTGCGTTCCGCTTGTTCACTGTGTGTTTGTGTGCAGACCCTTTTCTGGTTCACATTCCTTTTCTTTCTCTTGGCAAAGAATTACTACTGACATTGGCAGTAATGTGCCGTTTTGGTAATAGCTTGGTCATTTTGTGGCAGGGCAATGTGTGTGTTTCTGGAAAGATGCTTGTAGTTTAAAGCAACCCACTGTAAAATGCTAAATAATGTGCATCTGACATTGTGCTTTGAGCTACATTGGCTTTAACTATTGCACTATATAAAATGTTAAGAATACTTTTTTTCCCCAATAGCAACCTGAATTAACTGAGGTCGCTAAAATAGAAATAATGTTTAAATTGTTCTTCTTAAATGAATGCATTTTTTGCCTGAGTTCCTAAGGAACTCCTGAGTATTGCATTAAGTTGTCATCACTGTTTGTTTTACATCCTTTTATTTTGCTAAGCTTCATATGCTGGACATCTAACAATAAAATACAGATATCATTCATGAAATCATAGCTGTTTTATTAAACTTGTTGTATTGCCACCTATCAGAATGTTTTGATGGCTTATAAAAAAAGATCATGAACCCTGGTCAGTTCTGCTTATAACTCCCCATTTTTTTCTATCCTGTTGTCAATACCTCATTTTTTTAACCTCAATAAAATTTCCATTAAGAAAAAAAAGACAAACTTGACTTAAAGGATACTTTATAGTTTGCCTTTCAGAGGTGGGTTGCTCCCGGTTCGGCCCGGATCAGGTGAACTGGTAGTAGCAGCGGTGTGAGGCTCCGCCCACCTGCCCGGACGCCTCTGTGCATAAGCATTGCATAAGCACGCACACGAATGAACTGATAGGAAAAAAAATTAGAAATCTACCACTGTTGCATTTGTATAATTGGACAGTTATTGGGTGGGCAGAAAAGAATGCCTTGGAACTCTGATGTAACACACCCCAGCATGCTCAGAGCCAGGTTAAATTTCAAGTATGACTAGTGGAGGAGAAGCTTCAAACTGTGTTTAAAGCAGACTTCCCAAACTTCATGTCATTCAGCATGTGCTGGACTAGAGTTACATCTGAATGGTGGAAGTTGCTCTAAATCAACATAGTTGGTGAAAGGTGGGTGGGGTCTCTGTTTCAGCATTTTGTTCCAGAATTGCCATCCATGGCTTCGTTCATTTGAATATTTATACTCTTGATGGAAACTTGGAAGTGTAATGGTTTTATGAAAATGCAACTGCAAGTGAATATCTAGAACAGTAGAGAGCCATGCACTCTGGTTCCAAGGAAATTTTTAGGTGTGGATTTATTTGCTCCATATTAAAACATACGTTTTTATGGTAATGAAGCTTATATTTATTATGTTTCTTTGTCACATTGCTAGGTTTCTCCTATGTAAAAGCGGAAGGGTTGTTAATGTTTTTCAAGAGGATGCGCAATAGCTTCACTGCCTTCTATCTTCCTCATCCTTCAGGTACCATCAGAAAAAATCCTCCGAGCTGGAAAAGTATTACGGAATACGATCCTCTCCCGTGCTCCTCACATGATAAGAGACCGGAAGTACCACCTGAAGACCTACAGGTACCATAAGGGAAATATCACATTCATTTTTTTTGCTTGAGTATCATCTTGTGATTTTTAATAATAATTTGGGGTCCTTTCAGGTTTCCAAATATTGGAATTATTGGCAATACTGTAGAACTCAAGCATGCTTTAGCCATTTGAAACCTGTGGCTTACAGCCCATTGAATTCTGGGCAGGGGTGGGTTGCTGCCGGTTTTACTACCGGTTCGTAACCCCTGCTGTGTGTGTGTGCTCTGTTCAAAGTAAATTATTCTTTGCGTATGCACAGAACAATTTACAGTGAACTGCGCACACATAGTCACTAAAAGCCAAAATGGCAGCAGCCCGCCGGTGGCTAGAGAACTGGTTCGGGGGCGTGGCAGGCCTGGGTCGCTGCCGGTTCTGCGACCCTGGCCTGAATTCCACTACTGGTTCGGCCAAACCAGGAGCAACCTACCTCTGATTCTAGGCTGTTTGAAGATTTCATGCTACAAATATCATTCAGGCATCTTGAGTCAAAGAAGACTGTGGTTGTCTGAAGTGCCACTTGTGTGTACTTTCCTTAAACCAAGTAGTCTATCTTTAAATTGGGCCTTTATCTTCAAACTTAGCCTCAAACTACAATCCTAATTACCAAGGCAGAATGTCCAGCCAGAATTGCTAATGGCTGGAGATAATGGGAAATAATGTCTAACAATATGTGGAGGGCACCAGTTCCCAAGTTGTTATTGGGAGAGTCATTTTAACTTGGTGGGGTTACTTTTGAATAGACGCAATGTAGAGTTGCATTGTCAGTATTTTGTGTATATTTCCATATAGATAACAATGTAAAACACATGCATTGTACATATTAAACATGTGAAGGGCAATATTTTTACTGCCTGTTGTATACTTGAGCAACTCTGCATATGTAACATTATTCTTTTATGGATCCTGCTGGTGGCAGCAGTGCCTTGCTAAAAAGTTTATTTTTGGCAACAGATTTCTATCCTACTACTAAAACTAATGACTTCTAACTTTCTCAGAGCACCAAAAACTGAATTAAATATTATTTGGGCTCTTTTTTTAACTTTGGAGAGTAAATACATTTTAGAAGTTATTAATTGTCAGAGTTTTGTTTTTTTTACACAATCTGGATTTTGTTTTATTCAACATGTGAATATAATCAGAATAGCAGACTGGAAGTGACTGGTCATCAAGCATTGTGTGTTGTATTCTCTATGCCTGCATTTTTTAATAAGCTCTTGCAACATATCAGTCACATTCTCTCTCTAAAATGTTTTCCAAATTTAAAAATAAGTAAAGATCACCTTCATTTGATCATTAATGGCTGTATCAAAACTGCTGAACAAATTCATTGTTTTTCCAAGAGATTACAGGTAATCTTTGATTTATGATAATTCATTTAGTGACTGTTTAAAGTTATGACAACACTAAAAAGTAATGGAATAACAGAGTTGAAACAGACCTTGGATGTCAATCTAGTCCAACTCCCTGTTCATGCAGGAAACCTTATACCATTTCAGTCAATTGATTGTCCAATCTCTTCTTAAAATCCTCCAACACCTACAACTTCTGGGGGCAAGTTATTCCACTGATTAATTGTTCTAACTTATTGGGAAAAGACATGACTGGCTCTCACAATACAGCCATCAAAGTGTCCCTGAAGTCATGTGACCATGTTTTGCAACCTTCCCAGGAGGCTTTCAACAAACAAAGTCAGTGGAGGAAGCTAGATTTGCTTTAACAACCATGTGATTTGATTAACAACCACAGCAAAAATGATCATAAAATTGTGCGAGGTCACGTGATGATTCATTTAACAATTGCATTGCTTAGTAATGGAAGTTCCAGTCCCAATGTGGTCAGAAATCAAGGACTACCTATAGTGAAGCTTGCAGAAAGCATTTGGTTTTATTTTAATTCTTGGGTATGTTTTCATAAATTGAAATACAGGCTTCGGTTGCCATGTCATTTCAGCAATGTCAACATATTCTTATTTTCTTTGTCTCTCTCACTGAAATGGTAGATTACATGTGATGAGGCTATTGTCTGAGAAACAAGATGATTATATTTGCATTGTTAAATAAGCTCACTTTCCCTATACATAGCAATGAATCACAATCCTTTTGAAACTGTGTCAGGTTTGGATTAAGTAAACAAAACCTCTAGTTTCCTGGGACAACGGATGTTTATAAATAGAAAAGTTGTTTTTCCTTAGAAGTTATATTAACCAGCTTTTTGTGTTACATTTTTCTGAAAAGAGCCTAGAATATTAACAAGATATTCTAATATATTTGTATCATATGACATGGTTTTAAATCAAAATTTTACTGCCCAAGCAAGGCCAGGTGAAGTTCCCCTCACCCAAGTTTTTAATGCATCTCCTTGAACTTCTCAATAACTTTTAGAACCTTAATGAAGTTAAAATAAAAATAAATGCATTTTTCCTTGGATAATTCCACTCACTGGTATCCAGGGGAATAGTCAAAAAGGCAAAACGGTGGTTGTGGCAGCGTGATCAAAGCTCCACCCTTTTTTTAAATCTTCACTGAAGTGATATTCACAAAAGGGTGGGCTTCAGTTACACTGCCATAACTTTCCCTTTTTTATTTTCATCCCTAGATTCCGGTGCAGTCACTGTTTAGGCTCCCATCTTTAGTACGTTTTTATTTTATTTTATTTAGTTTGTCACTCATGTACAAGATAACAGGAATAAGAATAAACATGAATAAGAACACAGGAAATGGGTACAAATAAACGGGGAAAGTAGGACAAGGACATTAGGCACGCGGGTGTGCTTATGCACACCCCTACAAAAAAATCAGCTGCAGCCCTCAGCAAGGAAGGAATAACTGCTGCTGTTTAAAATTATAAAAGCGTATTCTGTTGATAGATATATTTCTCGCTTTTCTTCAAAAATCAACATTCTCAGAAGGCTCCTAATCTAGACAGGGTCTATTGGGCCCAGGGAAGGAATGGTGAGACAGTTGTTGATCTTAGATTGCTGATACCTATCATCAGCACAGGGTCTGTTTGGGGCCTTTCCAGTCCTCATCTGAGGAGGGCTTTTGGGGGTCAGGCCATGACATCTTGGATCTCTGCAGTCAAGCATATGCTGAGGCCTGTACAAAACTTTCTGATGGTTTGTCATTCACAGTGCCCACAGTTATAGCAGCCCACGATGTCTTTACATGATCCTCATTGTCTTCCAACTTCAAAGGTTCTCAGCTAGCGTTACCACATAGGCAAAGAAGGACAAGAACAATTGAAAAGGGGAACAAATGGGGCGAAAAGAGGATATAATGATTGTTTATCGCTTAGCAACAGAGTTTCCAGTCCAGTTGTTAAGCAAGAACTAACTATATGTTTCTGAGTCTGGAACTCATAGAGATCACTGATCAATCATTGTTCCGTCTGGTATTCTAAGAGCAAAGTGTAGAGAATGCCAGCCAATCACTGGTCATCTTTTTGGTTTCAAGCTACCCAGTCATTGAATATCCTGTCTTAAATGTTTCTAGTGCTTCTTGTGCAAGGAATGAAGCTGATAAGATTGAAACCAACAGTTTTAAACCCAATCAGAACCAATAGTTCACCTTTTTGTGGGTGCCTCTTGATCTCAAGGCCATAATCAAATCACCCAAATTTCCATTCATTTGAAAAAAAGGGAAAGAGAAGGCCTAGAGGTTAAACCCAAGACTACAGACTTAATTTGAGGTACATGTTCTAGCGTGAAACTGGATATTTTAAATTAATAAACATCATTTCACCATCCTTTCATAAAAATGAGAGGCAAATTAGTTTCTAGCATCCTCATATATCTATTGTCCATGTGTTTATCTGCCTGTATTTATATATATTTGACAGTTTGAAAGAGTCTCCTCCACAGACTTCTGTGGGTGGGTGCATGGAAGATTAACGTTTAAAACTTGTAACAACCAGATTCAGAAATCTCAACACATTTTGTTTATTATGATATGAAATCTGCACAGCAGAAGAAAACCCTGTCAGGTGGTATGAGTTGCAAACTATATGAAACATGTTCAACAAACCCTGCAAAGGCGGCATTTCAGCAAAACTGAATCAAGGCCTTTTTTCCAAATAGGAAATAAATCACAGTCTAATCCTATGAAATTGAGCTATGTGAAACCCTTCCTATGAGATAGGAAGAAGAATTGAGTGGCAGGTAGTTACTCTGTTGGGCAAACAGAAATCTTTAAGTATAGGATGAACTCAATTCATATATGTAAAATCTCTTATTGAGACCTGTATGCACTCTGTGCATTACAATCATAAATTGTGAAGGTTACAAAACAGGTTATTGGGTAACGAACATTTATGAATTTTTTTGCAGCAGTTTTTAAGTGAATGCAATGGTTCCAAAGCAAAACCACTGTTGGCTAAGGGGGTGTTTTTGTCAAAAACCAAAAGTAAACTATTGGGGGGAAATGTCATAATGCAATTATGTAACAAGTGGATGCTGCAAAAAGCCATAAATGTGGGCTGGTTGTTGAATGCCTGAAATGCAGTCACATGACCCTGGGTGTGGGGCAGCTGTCAGATGTTTGGGAGGGTCCATCATAACTTTTGAACATTCATTGAGTCAGGAACTACCTATAGTAGGTTTTATCCATTTCTGAGCAGAGATAGCTGTCTGGCACTCTTCAAAAAAATGTCAGTCTATAAATCTATCAACAACAGGAGCGACAACAAAGTTAGCTAAATATTTTGTGCTTGAAACTACTGATATTGTTTCCATCTTTCAGACAATGCTGTGTAGGAACAGAACTGGTAGACTGGATAATGCAGCAGAGTTCCTGTGTTCATTTACGGACTCAGGCTGTGGGCATGTGGCAAGTATTGCTGGAGGAAGGTGTTCTCAATCATGGTAAGAGGAACTTAGAATTGGGAAATCCAGAACATATGCTCCTTAGTACAGTAATTCTAACAGGAGACAATGGAAATCTATTGAAGTTAATAAACTATACTTTAAATTATGGTGCTTGAGAGATATAATTATTCCAGTGTCCATGGATACAGTTTGTTCCTAGAAAAATCACTGTCAATATAGGACAGTGGTGGGTTTCAAAAATTTTGGAACCTCTTCTGTAGGTGTGGCCTGCTTTTTGGGTCCACTGGTGGAACCTCTTCTAACCGGTTTGGTAGATTTGACGAACCGGTTCTATCGAATAGGTGCGAACTGGTAGGAACCCACCTCTGATAGAGGATAAGCACGTTAAAGAGAGACCAATAGTCAGACTTAAGATGCTTTCTCCTCCAAATGGACTCTTCAGATGGAGTGTCTTCTTACTCCTTCTAGCAGAGCCTCCTCCTCTTCATTTGGTGGTTCCACCACAGAGACACTTCTACATCAGATCATATTCTTAGAGAGCCTTCACATACCCAAATTGGATTTTAAAAAAGCACTGATTGAGCCAAAGCTGAAGAAGATTCTTGGATGAGAAGCAAAATGTCTTCAAAGAAAAACAAGAAAGTCCAGTTGCCTCTTTAAAAAAGCACATTTGGGTGAACGGTGCTAAATTGCAAAAATGGCTCTTCTAAAACTTCCAGCGAAGAAGCCATGCACCTGTTTGTAAATCCTGCTTGAACATGAACACTTTTAATAGAAATTTGGTTGGTGTGGATGCTGAATTTAAAATTTTGATTAAACTAAAAACTGATCTTTCATGCAAATAGCATGTCAGTAATCTAGTCATTTCCGAAAAATCTTGCAGTACAAGAGAGTTATTTAAAGTTGACATAGTAGAGATGTGGTAGAGTCAGATACGAGACAGAGTCATAGATATTTCATGACTGACATCCAACACAAAGTAATGAGCATGTTGTCTGTTAATGTATTGAATCACCAGTACTGACATTCTCTTCTGGCGCAGGCAAGCCATTGTTGGCAGAGATCTATGAGAAGTCCAGGAGTCTTCTGGCAACTGGCTGGACTTCCATAAAGAGCCCTGCCTTGCCTGCTGAGAACTGCAGATCGGTATCATTTAATGGTGTGGAAGATAATAAAGCCTTCTACCATCAATCTTTTATATCCTATTGCTGCTTTTAGTGGACCAGGAGCAGTACTTCCAGGACAAATATTTATTTTATCGATTTTTGGACGATGAGCATGAAGATGCCCCGGTGATGCCAACTGAGGAGGAAAAGAAGGAATGTGACGAAGAGCTACAAGACACCATCCTCCTGCTTGCTCAGATTGGACCGGATGCTCATATGAGGATGATTCTTAGGAAGCCGTAAGATGGTTAATAGATTATTGATTTTGAGATCCTGATTTAAATCTTTCACCTGTAGGTATGCTTGGCAGGGCATGTTTTGGTATTTAACTATAAGAACCAGTGCACAAAAACTTGATTGAAATGATAATTCAGATATGCTTTCTTTGATAGACTAAAGCAAAACACCTAAATTAAATCAGGTATTTTCATGAGCTATAATTACACTGTACCTTTTAACATGCCCTATAGTAATGTGATGAAAATTTCTGCTGTATAAAATATTCTCTGGATAATTTATTTTTTTTTAGGCAGAAAGAGTCTAGTCTAATCTGTATTGAATACTAACATTCCAGGTGCAAAAAGTTTTCCATCAAGTTAGCAGTGATTTTCAGTCTGTGGAGTAGTCCAGATACATATTTATTATCCCACTTATCATGATCCTATTATTAAAGTTCGCAGGAAGTGTAGGATATTGGCTCTGGGTTGATTTGAAAAATATCCTCTGCTTGTAAATTGCCACAGCTGCTGCCTTTGACTTGCAATTCTTCAAGAGGTTGCAAAATTCATATAATTACCAAGAAAAGAAATAATGTATTTTTTTTATTTTTAAAAAAATGCTGAAAAGATTACTTTTGAGCATTTGATTGTATAATGGCGCTGCTGCTTTAAAAGGTGCTTTCTATTGTTTTCAATTTGAAACTCACTTGCAAAATGTGTCACTTGTTTTGACAGGGAACTTTAAAAATTCTTTATTTATTACACTGCAACATTTTAACTGTCAAATGATGAAAGACTGTCTGCAGTGTTAAAAAAATTAGAATAAAAACGGGAAGGAGAAAATTGGCAGACTCCGGTTCCTATTAGTAGTGGTGGCCCCTCCTTTTTATTAAAAAACATACATTGCTCTAAATATAAAATTAGCTTTTTTTTTAAAAAAAAAAAAGTGCTACAAACAAAGTTGCCTGGTTCTAATGATGTATGTATTAAGAAATACAAATCTGTTACATGCACTGAAAACCTGTTTGAAAGATGTGACTTCTATTTTAAAAATTATGGTGCGATTCAGAAGTGACAACCAAAATGGATTTTAATTTTTTTTTTTAATATGTATTTGATTTAGCTGTTTAGCAAAAAATGTTGGTTCACTGGAACCTGTTAGACGTATACATCAAATAAGGCATTTAATTTGAAAGTGTTATTTAAACATGCAGTTGTTGTATGATGATGGCTTCTAACCTCGCTTGCTACCCATTTGATTTTCTAAGAGCCAAGCTAAAATGTCACCGTATCTGTAGTGGTTTGTTTGTTCTTAAATTACGAATAGTCATTCTGAACAGTGACATTCATGCCAAACACACAGTATGCCAGAAGAACAGCACACGCGTGGTGATGTCATCACACATACAGTATGTTGCCATTTCGTAATTACATCCCAAAGCCTGATGCAAATACGTAACCCATGGCTTTTGCATGATGATATCTTGACGTCATGTCTTCACCTCCCCCTCCCATTGACACACACTTATGTGAGAGTTATGGATCTGATTCAGATTATTTGGGGGAGGGGGGTGTCCATTGTACGAATGTCAAGATGGCTATCTCAAGAGAACTGTGTGGAGAGATAGAGGGTGTGCAACAAGTAACTCCTGAATTTTAGAGAGCAGTCCTACTTTCTCCAAACATTATCATCTGTGATTCTCAAATAAATAAATCTATGGCAAGTGGCGTATGAAGGAAGGAACGTTTTTAATTCTGTGTCCAGGAAAAGCTGCTCAGCTCAGAGAACTCTGTTCTGAATACAGTTTCACCATATTTGTAAGCTATGTCTGGTGTGAAGCCTGATTGTGTATGGGCGTGTTACATCCTTTGAGTCAACCCCGATTCCTAGTGATTACATATTACATACACAGGTCTGTGCTGTTTTCTTGGCAACGTTTTTCAGAAATGGTTCGGCCATCTTCCTAAGGTTGTCAGGGCAAGCAACCAGATCCATGTGTACAGAGTTCAAGCTAACTACTTACTACTGCCTACAGTACAGGATTTTCCCCAGGACTGCTAGCCTTTCCTTGGGAAATATAGATAAGGTTCCAGGGAGCTTGGGGAGGGGGGGAAGGTCAGTCCTGGATCTCTTGTACCTGCACAACAATTCAAGGCTACTTCCCTACTTGGTTCTTTCTTCCTGCATGGCTGGACGTTTGAGTTTGAGTTTGAGTTTATTGGTCTTGTATGCCGCCCACTCCCGAAGGACTCTGGGCAGCTTACAATAAACAAGGGAAGGGGATAAATAAACAAAACAACACTTTAAAATACACAACAGTCACAGTTTCCGTGGGGCTGGATATTTCGAAAGCCCTCCGGCCTGCCCAGAAAAGACTGAAATGAATAGTCCAAAATTATTCAAATGGCTTCGTATCTAACAAATTATTCTTCCCAAGTATATCCCTGAATGTCACATCATCAAGTGAGATATGCCTCGCATGTGTATTGTGTGTATATTGTATATAATGAACTCTTTTTAGCCCTAAACGTAGTTTAGAATTTGTGGTTTGGAAGGCAAAGCAGTTTTTACACATTTATTTTGTGACTGTACAAAAGAAAGTGTTGCTTATTATCAGATTGAATTGGAATTTAATTTAGCAGATGAACATTTTTAGTCTCCTGCAACCTTTGCTTTCTTCCTAGTGACTTTGTTATCACGGCTATGCAGTTCCCTGGAAGAGATTTGTCGTTGCCTTCTTCTCAGATTTTTTTCCCTAGCTTAGCATACAGTCTCCGCATTCCTTAGAGATCTTTTCTGGCTTAGCAAGTTGCTGGACCTGGACAATCTTATTTGGATATGACGTGAAGCAAGATTGGGTCTGGTTCATATTAGGCTGAAAGATCTCCAAGATTTTTTTCTAGATTTTTTTTTTCTCAAGAAAAGACATTCTTTTCCTATGTCCATAGGATGAATGCACTCCTGCATCTCTTTCAAAATTGGAAGTTGTAAGACTATTTTATGAGCAAAGGCTGTCAGAGTAGCTTTGAGAACTATAGTGATAGTGGGAAGTATTTTTTCTTGGCTAACTCAAATCTGATAGATGCTCAATCTGCTCCTATTTGGCTCACGAAAATAATGCTTTACTTATTGTTAGGGTTGCTACCCAGTCAGATGAAGTATTATTGATCAGTTCCATATACTGAAATAAATTAATGAATTCCAAATAAATTCAATTTCATTAAAAACAATTATTCACGATAGATGTCATAAAATGTCTATAGAAAAGGGGGGAGAAATGGCACATTAACAAGTTAAAACACATTAACTTATTATTTTACTGTATTCTGGAGATTAAAAGTACAAATAGATAAATACTACCGCATTTTCCCAAAAATAAGACAGGGTCTTATTTTCTTTTTATCCCCAAAATAAGCGCTTGGCCTTATTTTCAGGGAGGTCTTATTATTTTTTATGTGCAGGAAGCGGCGAGCGTGGTCACCTCATGGCTGCTGTTGTGTTGCAATATTTTTGGGGAGGGCTTACATTTGGAGGAGGACTTATTTTAGTCCATGCCCTCAAAAGCCTGATTGGGCTTATTATCCAGGGAGGTCTTATTTTCAGGGAAACAGAGTAAGTGGAATCCATTTAGTTTTTCTGCAGCTGGAATTGCTTCCATGAACTCCTGGAATTTACTTTGAAAAGTTAGGGGACTCCCAGATCCAGTTAGAAGGATAGGAAACATCAGGGAAGATCAAAGGAGGGAAGCCATATGTTCTATCTACATTGTTTGTGCCTGTTTCTACTGTTTACCATATGACTGTGCATCGGTTCTAAGAGTAAATGAAGCATCTATATGCTGCATGAGGCAAGTATAGAAATCAGGTGTGCTGTGAAACCCTGAACAATCACACTTGCAGACTTTATATATTTATGTATGAAATTCCTAGGCAGCCCAGCTCCAAAAGGATCCTGTGCAGTTTCCCAAAGTTGAAAGGAACAGTTGTCTTAGGGAACAACATTCAACATACTTGGGCCCAATTAAAAGAGGTTAATCAGAACCATCCTGTCCCAAGGCTTAGGGAAAAACAAGGTGTTTTTTTTTAAATTGTTTGAAACTGCGCATGTGGGGGGCTACAGCACTTGGGGGGGGAGACGGTTCCAAAGGGATTGGGAGAGTGACAGAGACCTCCTGGGTCTCTGTTAATTGACAAGGCCCAAAGGAAGTCCCCCTGTTAGTACTACGGTAGATTGCAGAATATTGTCTATGGTAGCACTTTGAGTTGAGATCATTTATATAATTTCTTGAACCACCAATATGACTGAAAATCAGACCATTTATAATGTAACGTAATGAGTGTGTATTTATCTTTTATAATAGACCTGGCCAGAGAACTGTGGATGATCTCGAAATTATTTACGAAGAACTTTTGCACATTAAAGCTTTATCTCATCTTTCAACAACAGTGAGTTTTAAAAATATTTCATTAACTTAAGGTAGACAGGCAGGCAGGTAGTCTAAGGCTGATTAGTGACTAGCTATTTATAAGTATGGGCTGCGTATAGTAACATCCCAATATGTCCTCTGCCTTCTACTTCTTTAAGATGGCCTAAAAGTGTGAACTCCATATAGATGAATAGAAATGAAGATTTGGAAAGGGTTATTGTTCATTATATCGAAATCTCTGGGGGGAAATGATAAGCATTAGAGCTACAGGCTTGCTCATTCTCTGGTCCAGTTCCAGGCTGTTGAAGGCTCTTGTTTCAGATGGATTTAATCGTTAAGACTTCTACTTAGACTCAGCAGTTCCGCTTATAGAAAATACCTTTCAGAAGGGAACTTCCCTCCCTAAAGCAAGATACATACATGTTCATCTTGTTCCGCCCAACATTGTTGGCCAATACATACAGATATCCCATGGCTGTTTTGGACAGGGAAGAAACAAGTAATAGGCTCAATCATTCCACTGTTCTTTCTCACATGGGAGAAAAGACTGTGAGAACACAGGCGTTCATAATACTCATTGAATGTGAATATATTTTGTGCTCTTGTATTTTTCATCAGTGCAAGTGATTATGTCTGCTGTTCTAATATATGATGGTACCGAAGAATTGTCATAGATTACTACCATCAAACAGTCAATCTGGGATTTTTTTCAGACCCTTGTGCATTCTATAATTTTTATCTTTCAGTCCACAATAAATATAGTGAAGTGTCAGAGTCCTGTTGGTAGCAGGTACCAACAGTCTGACTTGTGGGAAACATTAGACAAGATAGCAGGAATGCAGAGAATGTAAAACATACAGCTTTCTTCAGGAAGAGTGAGAAAGTATAGCTCAAGGCTTGTCTTCTTAGGAGACAGCATTGTAAAAGAACATGAATTATTTGAAATATAACTGGATATAGATTTTGTTCTCGCTCTCCCACTGGCTCAAAGCTTGTCAACCTGTCAATTATGGTATGGCTGCCATAACCTCTAAACAATAAAGAAGGATTGTCTAGCACATGGGTGTCAAACTCAAGGCCCGGGGGCCCTCCCAAGCTCCGTTTTCATCGGCAGAGGGTCGCAGGCAAAAACGGAGTTTGGGAGTTCAGGAGTCATTTTCTCTGGCAGAGCGCTTGGGGCCACCACAGGTGCCCCCGAACAAGTGACTTCAAGCTGGCCATGCCCAACCCTGGCCATGCCCACTCCCCCCCACCCAGGTCAAACACAACCCTGATGCAGCCCTCAATGAAATCGAGTTTGGTGTGGCATGTGAATACAATGGCACATATTATGGATTATATGAATGAATGTATTTCCTTGTCATGCAATTCTAGCCTTGTCTGTGAGAAGAGCTTTACATCATGAATTTAGGACTCTCTTTTGCCAATTTCAGGAGACATGAGAGTTTTGCCTAACATCTTTTGAAATATTTTGGTGCTTCTTCCCTTCCTCTTCCTTCCTTCCTTCCTTCCTTCCTTTCCTCTCTTCCTACTCCCTTCCCCATTTGAGTTTACGGATAGCCATACAGTTCAAGGATATCAAAAATTTATATGTAATACTTATGTATATTTCTTCAAGGTAAAACAAGAACTAGCAGGCTTTCTGGTGTTTGAATCACATCCCAAAGCAGGGACAGTTTGTAAGTAAAGCTTTTTTTAATGATAGTTTTAGGCTTATCTGCAGTTGAACAAATTATATTTTCTGTGCAATTTGAAAAGCCCCAGAATGTAAATGCACAAAATGTACTGGACTATTTTTATTAGGAGGAAATTGGAGAAACTGAAACTTGGATTTTAATCTAGGCAATGATTAGCCCTAAGAGGATTGGAGTATAATATCTAATTTTCATAACTTTATACATTTTGTAATTCTACTTATTTGGCCGTAAGCTCCAATGATCTCTCAAAATAAATTTGACAGATAATTTGTTATAGCAGAATATAGTTGTGGAATCTGGAGTCAGTTGAATTGATTATCATGTGAAGCCAAAGTTGATTAGTGTTAATGACAATGACAATGTTGTCAGAATATGGCAAAAGGAATATACAGAAGGAATTCTTTGTGCTGCCTCGTAGAACATGTGCTACATACAAAGCCATCAAGGCAAAATAACAACAACAACAACAAAAATACCCAATACTCTACCCATTTTGGCTAGAGAATGTCAGTTATCCTGAACTGAAAATGAAACTGGTAATCATGTAAAAAAAACACCCCATAGACGGATTACCATAGAAAGGCATGATCAAATACAATTTTTATTTATTTTGTCATATTTAAGAACCTCCCATCTTCATCCCATATTGCATTGGGAGGGATGAAAAAGTAATGGTTTATTGTAAAAAAAAACCAACAACCATTAGTAGAAATATAAAATTGCAGATAAAATTTAGTCATTTTTTAGTCATTTATTAAAATTTATAGGCCGCCCTTTTCCCTGAGGGGACTCAGGGCGGCTTACAATCACAAGGGAGGGGGGTGCAGTATCAAAAAACAAACAAAATGTGAACAAAGAAAAGTAATAAAACACAACTTTCGTTCAACAATCAAACACTCGGTCGGGTGAATTGGGAACCTATCCCCAGGCCTGCTGGGAGAGCCAGATCTTGAGGGCTGCGCAGAAGGTCTGGATGGTGGTGAGGGTACGGATCTCAACGGGGAGATCGTTCCACAGGGTCGGAGCTGCAACAGAAAAGGCTCTCCTCCGTGTGGTCGCCAGTCGGCATTGACTGGCAGATGGGATTCGGAGGAGGCCCAGTCTGTGCGATCTAATTGGTCGAAGGGAGGTAATCGGCAGAAGGCGGTCTCTCAAGTACCCAGATCCACTACCATGGAGTGCTTTAAAGGTGGTCATCAGTACCCTGATTGTTGAAAATGACAAAGCAAAACTTTAATGGGATCTGAAATTCTGACTACTCAATGACCACCAGACCCCATTGCAAAGAACCGTGTTTAGGTTATTTGTATTTGCATTTGTCTTTATTAGTTTGTCAAACATGTACAGGATAGCAGGTATAAATATAAATATGGACATGAATGAAAGAAATGAATACAAATAAATGGGGACAGTAGGACAGGAACGGTAGGCACACTGATGCGCTTATGCACATTGTAGTTTGTAGTTTATGCACTTATGTAGCCATTCCAAGAGATAGTAACATAGAAGATGAGGAATTACAAAAGATTGCAAAATATTGTGATTTACAAATAGAGATTGCAAAAACATGGAAGAAGTTGTCAAAGGGGTACCAATCGTTCATTTGAGCCTTAAGTGCCATTGCACGAGGACTTAGAATTCAGATTGCCTAAATTTGGAACACATTGGTTCAGCTACAAACACTAGCACTGCTGGGCACATCATGAATAATTAGATCATCAGATTTCCAAGCCTTGGGTAGGGCTTGAATCATGAAGAAAAAAACCAACCAAAATTAGTTCTGACAACTGTTCATGGATAAGAATAATAATTATTATAAAGGGGAAAAAAGATAATTGCTATATTGCTACAATTCTAATGTTGCTAAATAAACTCTGCCAATAATCCAATAGTTTTTAGTGTAGGATTTGCAAGATCTTGGACAATTAAAAGTTGCGTTGCTCTAACTACTTTTTCTTTCTTTTGCAGTATTTAATCAGGGAGAAGAGGGGACGTCTTGGTATATTATTCTGAAGGGTTCAGTCAACGTAGTAATTTATGGAAAGGTATTGTCTTGTACAATTTCTTAATCTTATTTTATTTTCTACATATGTGTATCCATGTGTGTAGGTGTGCTGCTTCCACAACAGAAAAGCTGTCTCTTTTCTGTTGTGGAAGCAATAGGCTAAGTCCATTGGGGTCATTGATGGAAAAATCAATTTGGTTTGTACTAAAAACGTCACAAGGTTTTCACCAATTCCTCCCCTAATGTCCTATATCAGTGATGGCTAACCTTTTCTGGACTGAGTGCCCAAAGTGCACGAACCCCCAAATGAAATGTGCCCCCCCAGCGCATGAGTGTGCGATCCTCCCAGCACCCCACCCCCCACATATGCATGCGTAACCCCCACACACATGTGCCATGCACATGCACATATGACTTCCCCATACATACCCTGCCCTTTGCTCATGCTGCCCAGCTGTCCCTCTGCGTGGCAGGGACTTAAACACCAGCTGGCCGGCAGAAGGCGCACACGCATGCGCAGCAGATCGGATCTGAACTGGGGTGATGGCTCATGTGCTATCAGAGAGGGCACTGCGTGTCACCTCTGGCACGTACGCCAGAAGTTCACCATCATGGTCCTATATTGTTTTCGTGAATCCTGCAAGGCTACAGTGGATATGAGGAAGCCAGTGAAAATTGTGTTCTAAAATGAACTTCTAGTGTCACATGGCTTCATTACCATTGGGTGCAACTGATGGTGTCTTTATAGATCCTGATTCCAGAAAAAGAAAAAGGGAGTTTCTAAATTTTACTGAAAATTGCCCTTTAAACTATATATGAATAGAAATAGATGAATGAATAACTAATGTGATATGAATACAAAGTCTGGGTTTGCAGTTGCTGTGTCTTCCACAATACCTGTGATTCTTCCATTTTTGCACAAGTAGACCCTGCTCACCCCATCTCCCATAACCTGTCCCATAAATGGGCTCTGGGTATAGACATGAGAAATTTTACTTGAATTGGTGGAGCACATGCACATATTTGAATCACCTTCTGGCATCCCCAGCTAAAATAACGAGCATCAAATTGTGTAAATGACCCCTTGGGAGTCCATGCTAGCCAGAAGAAAGAGCACTGATTTGGGTCAGGGAAGGGCAAACAGGTGTATTTTAGATGTGTTGTTTCAAATCCCATCTATATGGCCTATTATTTCATATGTTCAATGGAGACAATATTCCATTTCCATTTAGAAAAATAAAATATTTGTAATCACATCATACAATTGTACGCTATTGCTTGTCGATTATAAACTATTCTGATTGCAAGTCTTTTTAAATGGGCCAAAGGAACTGAAAGTGAAATATATTTTCTGAAATATGTGATTTATCAATTGGGCTTTTGAGTTTCTACTCAATCTTGAGGATAACTAGAAGACCTCCAAGGTCCCTTCCAACTCTGTTATTGTATTTTATAAGGACAGAGAGCCAAACTTTACAAAGAAAGACAAAATGCAAACTTGGCTTCAGTTTATAGAGCTAGAAGTCTGTTTATTTCTGAACCCAGTTTCAGAGGATAAACTCCATATTATTATTATTTTGTCCCTTTCTTTCCAGTATTCTTAATGACCAGCTGCCATGCTTTGTTCCCTGCCAGTATATTGGCTGTTGATTTTATGCCAGATCCATTTGTGTATTTGGGGTAGAAATCCATTGTGTGTATATGAAGTGTCAATAGAGTAAGATGAAAATTATGGTATTTTTCCTTGCGAATGTATTTTCGTTGCTATTTCTGTTGTCTTCTTTAGGGTGTGGTGTGTACTCTACATGAAGGTGATGATTTTGGCAAGTTAGCATTAGTGAATGATGCTCCCAGAGCAGCTTCCATCGTTTTACGGGAAGAGAACTGCCACTTCTTGAGAGTAGATAAAGAAGATTTTAATAGGATACTCCGGGTGAGTGTGCAGAAAATAACTTTGATTCATTTATCCTGAATAAGCGGTTGTTTTTGAATGCTAAAAATATTAAATATCATTTCTCCCAAGCCTTTGCATGTTGAGGTTTCTTGCATTTATTTATGCATGGCAGAAACTATGTGGTCTAGAGGTTTTTAGAAGTTTTTGATTGCTTATTAGTAACTTATGACTATCACTAAGTGTTGTATCTTATGGTTCTTGATGAATGTATTTTGTTTTTCTTTCTGTACACTGAGAGCACCAAAGGCAAATTCCTTGTGTGTCCAACCACACTTGGCCAATAAGGAATTCTATCCCATCCTATAGTATCCTTTCCTATCCTATTCGTTTTTTAGTGTCATCTCTCTGAGTGAGTAGCTGTACTGAATGTTGCAATGACATCATGTTTATGTTTTATCATGAGTGAATTGATCATGAGAGCAAAATACTTCAGGTAGTCCTCGACATACAACAGGTTGTTTAGTGACCATTCAAACTTAACAACACCATTGAATAAAAGGGACTTGCGATAGTTTTTCACACTTATGACCATAGCAACATCCCCATGGTCAAATGATCAAAATGTAGACGGTTGACAACTGACTCCTATTTATGACAGTTGTCATGTCCCAGGGTCATGCGGTCACCTTTTGCAACCTTCTGACAAGCAAAGTCAATGGGGCAGCTAGATTCATTGAACAACCATTTTACTAACTTAACAATTGCAATGCTTCACTTAACTACTGTGGTAGGAAAGTCCTAAAATGGAGAAAAAATTACTTAACAGCTGTCTCACTTAGCAACAGAAATTTGGCCTCAATTGTGGTCGTAAATTGAGGACTACCTGTATTACAACTAACATAAAACATAAACTCACTCTTAGGTTTTTGTGAGCTTCAGCCACACAGTTTCTTTTGGCAATAGATTTCTATTTTCTTCCCCCAGTATGATTTTTTCAATTTCCCAGTTTAACTAACAGTCCTGGAATCCCCAGGTGAATCTCTGGGTAACTACTTACTCCTGGTTAGCTTCAGAAATCAGCCAGGTGAGCTAGAGGCTGCTGAGGTGTTACTTCTTACAAGCCAAGAGAAACTGAACTTTAAAATAGTTATCAGGAACACTTCAGTCAGTCCATTTTTCCCTTTCCAGTTCTATTCTGGTATCAGAATTTGGGTTTTCTACTGTGGAAAATGGAGGCTATTTACTTACTTACTTACTTACTTACTTACTTACTTACTTACTTACTTACTTACTTACTTACTTACTTACTTACTTACTTACTAGCTGATACCCCGGTGTTGCCTGGATATTTATTTATAGGGGGGAAATGTCCAGACCAAATGTAATTTCTAATGTTGGATTTTCCCCCTTACCAGAGGGAGCCCCCTTGTGGAGTACAGTGAAGCCATTACCATGGCAACTCCACTGCGCTGTACAGTAGAAATCATTTTATGGCAGTACAGTCGAAGCCATTTTAAGGCATAACAGACTGTATCTTAACAGAACACATCCCCCGAGAGGTTTTAGGGGTGTCTTGCCCCCAGAGTATTTTTCTCCAGAGGGTAAGTCATCTGTGTAACAAGTTTGGTTGAAGTTGCTCGAGGCGTTCCAGAGTTATGATGGAACACACACACACATTTATATATAGAGAGAGATTCTTTTATTTTATTTAGTTTAATTTAGGGAACGACCAACTCCAAACTGACAGCCCATAATAGAATGGTGGAGAAAGCTGAGGTGGAATGGGTGAATGTTGCTTTCTCTTTCTCTTCTTCCTATAAAACGTCTGCTGGATCTGTCTATATAGAGAATTGGTACTAGGATCCAAGTGACTCTTTTGACATTTAGCACTTACCATGTTGACAATTCGAATACTTTTTCAGGATGTTGAAGCAAACACTGTAAGATTGAAGGAACATGGCCAAGATGTCCTGGTGTTAGAGAAGGTCCCAGCGGGAAACAGGCCTTTTAATCAAGGAAATCCACAGCCTCTTCAGCACAAGTATGTTTTCATTCATGATTGTCAACATCACATTATGTTTAATAATTCCAACTCTAATGAAGGAATGAGTTGTGCCACATTTCAAAAGAAATAATCAGCTGTTCCCTTAATCATGATTTATCATTGCCCAAGCATGCTAGTTGAGACCCTTAATTTTCCAAAACCATTCTATGCAGTTCTTGGTGTGAATACTCTTTTTTTAAAAAAAAAATTACAAACCATAAGGAAAATTATTACAAAGATTTTAGTTACTGGTTTTTCATTTCTAATGTTATTTTATATGTCCTTATCTCACTTCAAATTGTTAGGCCATTATTATTCTTGTTTGTGCTTATATTGCTACTTCTGCTTGGGCCACAAACTTGCATTGATCCTCTCCCTTGCTCTATGTCCTACATTCTTTTCATTGTGACTTAGATGATAAGTGTGTGACACCATTTAGCTGCTGCTTTATTTTCCCTGTAGTTCAGCTTTTCTCCTGCCCAGTTTCCTGTCAAGTGCAGGAAGTCCAAGTAGTTTAAAATAAACATAAAGGTTTATTGCAAGCTCATGCTCTCTACAACCATCTTAACTACTAATGGTCAAAGCAGATTGGTGGTAGATAAGTGTCATTGGAACTCAAGGTGGGCTGGACTCAGATCTCTTGTGGGCATGAAGCAATTCGAGGCTAATGATGCATTTGACCCCTCCCTTACGCTCATCCTGCTCATCGCCTGAAGATAGGATATCTTTCAATATGCTCTTTTTCCCCTTTCTGGTCTTTTTGATTGGGCTTTGACACTTACTTAAAACTCTCCTCTAGAGTAGATCTTGGGACAAAATGTGAATATCTCCCCATTAGCTTCTCTGCCATTTCTCTATAGAACCAGCAAAACAAATTTCTAATATATGACGTCAGTGTTCAATATGAGTTACAGCTTTACATGCATACATTATTCACTTATGTAATTCCCTCTCTTAATGGTCATTTATATATCTTGTTATCAATAATGACTGAATTTTCTTTTATTTGATATTTTAGTCTTACTGTTATAATTTGCCAGGGATAAGTTTAATGAATAGAAATTCTGAAAACAAAATAAGCAAAATTTAGCAAGTATAGACAAGAAACCAAACGGGAAGTAATTCTTCTGTTTGTTTTCCTCAGTTTAAATGATTTCTAATAGGTGAGTTGTGTACAATGGAATATCATCATTCTAAATTATTCAGTAAAGACAAGACGTTATGGAAGCAAAATTGAACTCAAGAGACGTAATGAGCATGAAGGTTGACATTAATGACAGATTTAACAAATGAACAAGTACAGCATCAGAATAAGGAGATAGAAGAATCGTCTCAAAGGTGCTTTTTTAAAAGACAATTGGACAAACACCTTTGAGACAATCATTACCTGGATGACTGAGAATCTCCATAGACATAATGACAAAAGAATGGCAAACATGACATCTGGAACTGTTTTCAGAAGTTTCATCAAACAGAACTGAACAAGAATGAATTTAAATTAGAACTAGCAGAAACAGAACGGCATTAAAATAACCAAGTTCTGAGGTATACTTGAGCAGAGAAGGTATATAAAGAGAAATAGAAAACCCACTTAAGATTTAAAGACATCTGCATCTGGATGAAATTCAGGAAATCTTCAGAATAAAATCTTGAGAAACGTGAGAGGGGAAATTACAAAGGGATATACTGGTAAATTTGCATAACAATTAAAGACACAATACTGAAACAAAATGAAATGAAACTACTCTAAAACTGGTGTGGGGGAATCTGATCTACTGATGATCCAGACAAATTGGCACTAGATAAGAGTCAAGAGAGTACAAGGGAGGCTGGATTTAGATCTCTTAAGGGAGCATAGCTACCCCAAACTGATGGTGTGTTTGACCCCTCCATCAGGCTTACCCTGGTCATCTCATACAGGAACACTTCATTTTACAGTTTTAATATTACATTTTAATATTAATTAATATTAATATTAACATTGAATGAACACATATAAAATAATATTACATTTTTACACTGAATCTGGAAAAATAACACCTTCCCTATTTAAGCTCTGAATGATAAAATAAAACTGTGAAATATTTTTTCAATTACCTCTTGAAATCATAAAAGGACATATCTTAATCCTTGGCGAAATAAAGTGCTGCTGCAATGTCCATAAGAAAAAAATTGGCTACCGAAGTATATAGTACCATCTTGTACCAATTATCTGGACATACCTCTAACAATCTTTGGACCATTATGTTATTATCCACTTTTAATGTCAATACTTTTNGGGAGCTCACTCCATTACACACCACTAGGGATTCAAACTGCTGAACTGCCGCCCTTTCTGATTGACAAGCTCAGCATCTTAGCCACTGAGCCACTGCGTCCCTTGACACTTTTTACAGAGTCATTAAAAAGGATCGGAACATTCAGATAGCTGTGAAGCTTTGCATACTTGCACGTAAGTGCTGAGTATTATTATCACTGCTGTATTATTAACATTTTACATGAATCTCTGTATTTCCCTTCTCCCCAAATGAATACTGAGGTTGGATTTAAGCATTTGAAAGGAAATAAATCAGTGATTATACAGAGAGTAGAATAGACTGCATAGTTAGTAACATTTCTTAAAGCTCAAAATATGAAATCAGTATTCAGTCACATCATTGTTGATTAATACTTTAGAAATTATAGCCTCTCTAGAATATTATTTATACATAACACTATTATTCTGATAGATATGCAGCATGAAATTTAAGAAGGGTGGGCTCCACCTTTTCCTACGATAGAATTTGCATGGGAGGAATTATTAGCAGAATTAAAAATAAGGAGATGAGCAATGGAAAAATGGAAAAGAAATTGCTAGTGCCTGTGGTGAGTCACTTAATCAGCAGGTAAAAGGATATTGAATAATTACAGGGCTTGCACAGAAGCAGCGGCATGGGAAGGCAGAAGAAACTCAGTAAAACGTTGTTTGATTTTGAAAGGCTATAGGGACCAATGCCTGCACTGTCAAATTTCTTCCCCGGGTTCCCTTACTAAGAAACAACTTCTTAACTTCTGGTCTTGATTCAGTACATTCAGTGCTCCAAATCAGAGGTGGTATTCAGCAGATTCTGACCAGTTCTGGAGAACCGTAGAAATTTTGAGTAGTTCGGAGAATCGGTAAATACCACCTCTGACTGGCCCCACCTCCATCTATTTGCTGCCTCCCGAGTCCCAGCTGATTGGGAGGAAATGGAGATTTTGCAGTAACTTTCCCCTGGAGTGGGGAGGAAACAGGGATTTTACAGTATCCTTCCCCTGCTACGCCCACCAAGCCGCCACGCCACGCCCACCAAGCCACACCCACAGAACCGGTAGTAAAATTTTTTGAATCCCACCACTGCTCCAAATGCCAGCTGTCAAACTTCAGTAGCCATTTCCAAAGTTTCATTTAAACTGCAAGGAAATGGTGGCTGTATGAGGAATTCATCACCCTTTAAATCACCCCTTAATTATTTCATGTACACATGGCTGTATCTTGAGGAGAAAAAAATAGAATATTTCCTGGTGAGGAACTTAAAAGTTTTTGACTTATATCAGAGACTGCACTATAAAGGTTTTGATTTAAAGAAAACAATTTATTTTAAGAATTGCCTTCACGTCTTCTTGATTGACAGAACTGTCATTTGCAGAGGATAATCTAGGCTATTAGTTTCACCTTGGTCTTCTTCTGTGAACATCTGTTGCTGTCTAGCTGTCTGACTGTCAAATCTAACTATCCCTATATATCCTGACAAGGCAGGACTAAGCAGAATTTTAGAATTCAAGCCAATTGAATCCTGGCTCATTACTTAGTGTTCCATTTGGTTATGCCTGGTGCTTGGTTGATGGTCAGCTAATGAAATGGAAGTAAAGGTTTCATGAAGAGGGGGTTGAGGCAGGCCTGAGTCTTTAATGGCACAGTGGTTAGAGTACAGCCAAGTGACGCAGTGGTTAGAATGCAGCACTGTAGGCTATTTCAGCTGACTGCTAGCTGCAGTTCGGCAGTTCACATCTCTCCGGCTCAAGGTTGACTCAGCCTTCCATCCTTCCGAGGTGNCGGCGCTAGGGATTCGAACTGCTGAACTGCCGACCTTCTGATTGACAAGCTCAGTGTCTTAGCCTCTGAGCCACTGTGTCCCTTTTCTTCTTAGTCTACTAATACTTGAATTTAATCTTTACATCATAGTCACTCACACCTTAGCCAGTTCTCTTTTGAACCCACGGCACCCTACTCTGTATGTAGCCGCCCTTGAGCATTCAGAAACTTGAATAAAAGAGTGCTGAATTTAATATGCTTAGAAGAATAAATGTTTCACATCCCAATTGACCCATGAGTTATATTGCCTAGTGAAGTGTTGTTAATATAATAATTCCTTTTAGAAATTTCTGATGACAGATGCTTATTTGTTGTATCTCATCAATCTTACTTTCCTCAGCACCACATTGAAATTGTGACAGCTCAGTTCTTTTCCTCCCTTTCACTTTACCTCTTTTGTAACAATCTGGATTCATTGCCTTTTTATCTCTGAATATATTTGTGTTGAATCTGAAAAAGAGCCTAATAAAATTAAGCAATGCAGTAATGCAAGAAGTGGCTCCTGGGGGGAATGTGTTCTTGGTAGAGCTGGTCCCCCTTCTTCACCTATGGAATATCACCTGTAGGAGATCACCAGGCTGAGCCTGAGGGAGGGGTCAAACATGTCATAAGTCACAAGTCCCTGCATGCCCACAAGAGATTTAAGTCCAGCCCACCTTGAATGCCTTTCTTATCTCCCACTCATTTCCCTTGACCGCTAGTTGGTCTGATTCTTGCAGAGATGGTAAACTTGCAAAAGATTTTTAAACTCATTTGAACGCCCTGAATCTCACGATTTCCCCAGCACTTGACATCACCTATCTAGTGAGTTCACTCTATATGTGAAAACCTCAGGCAAAGTCCTTTTCCAGCATGTGAATTTAAATTGCTTTAGTTCTGGCTTTTTAATATTATTGTATTGCAGTGATCATGTCAATTACTACATTGAGTTCCAAGGACATTATCCCTTTGGGTGGTGCAGACACAAATTTGTTTCTTTTTTTTTTCTTCCTCAGATATATTGTAATGTCAGGAACTCCAGAAAAAATTTTAGAACACTTTCTAGAAACGATGCGACTAGAATCAACGCTAAATGAAGGAATGGGTAGGCCGGTTTAATCAAACTATTTGTAACTTCAATTTATCTAAGAAATAAAATCTGCAGTATGATAAAGCAAAAGAAAAATAGCAAATGACCTTGATATTGGTTCTAAAATATTTGTTGATATTCTCTGGTAACTTACCATATTTTTGGAGTATAAGACACACCTTTTCCCCTCAAAAAAAGAGGGTGAAAATCTGGGTGCGTCTTATACACTGAATACAGCATTTTTGGCCTCCCGAAACCCTGCCCCCTTTGCAAAAATGGCCGTGCATAGCCTTTAGGAGGCTTCCAGAGTGCTCCTGGGGGTTGAGGAGGGCAAAAATGAGCGGAAAATGGGCCGTTTTTTGCTTGTTTCTGCCCCCCTTCCAGGAGCATTGTATAAGCCTCCTAAAGGCAGTGCATGCCCTTTTTTGACAAAAAAGGGCCTGTTTTCACGAGGTCTGCAGAATGCAAAAACTTTTTTTTTTAATTTGCCTCTTCAAAATCTTGGTGCGTCTTATACTCTGGTGCATCTTATACTGCGAAAAATATGGGTATATAAGCCTTCCTGCCCATTTATTTAACGATCCTGTCTAATAGATTATTAAATACATTTCAAAAGTTTAACTGGGTCATCTGACATAATTTTAATAGCTTAAGTTAAAATATTTGAACTTCATACAATTGCCTTTCTATTCATGATTATAGATGTATATACCCTATATGTTTAGCATTAATTAAGATATCTTCTGTCTTGTAAATTGCTTGGGATGTCAGAATATCACTTCTACGGGATTTCATCCAAGTTAGTAAACCAGAATAAAAACTGCAAATGTCACTGCCATTTATTTGCTGCAAGACAAACCCAGTGAAAATGCTCTGATTTTTCATTTCTTATTTACAGTCCCAGACCAATCAAACATGAGTACAAAATTTAAAATACAGAAAAATCATTTCTCAAGCAATTAATAGTGAGAAAAGAGCATCGTCTGGCTTCTGCAAACCATAGCTATTGCTAGAAACTTTGCAACTTTTATAGTGGTTATCTTAATTAGGTCTTGCCGAAGAAAAATTGTAATTTCTAGAGTTAGGATTTCTCATCTGTGTGGCTGTGTGTGTTTTGGTAGGTCCAAATTCCAACTCTTTTGTTTAAATTTCATTGAGATTTTATCTGGACCAGATGGCAATTTTACCAAGAGTGCACAATGTGCCACATCAATTCTTAGGGATGAGGAAAATCTGTCCGTTATGGTGAAGTGAATTAGAGGCTCCCCCCCACTAGATTCGTTACAACCAAAATGTGAGATGGAAAATTTTCACCCGAGGCCTCTGAGAAATCTCACTCAGTTATTCTAGTAGTAGGAGGGTTAGTAGCTCCTGATATATATTTGCTGTCCTGGAATATCACAGGAGGAGGCTCTAAATGGAAAATTCTGCATTTACATTTATTTGAAATTCTTCTCTTTAAACGTGTGCTAACTTTTCAATCTAATGACCCAGTCTCCAAAGTTAGCAATGGTCTTTAAAGGCAAAAGAAGTACCCAGTTTTATAACGATTCCCCCTTTCACTTATTTAAAAAAGGAGTACAAAAAAGCGTTTGAGGGAGAAAAAGCAAAGCTATTCATTCACTAGTGAATTGGCAAAGCTCTAACAAGCAGGAAGGTAAAGGGTTTCCCTATCCAAGCAAGTCTGACTCTAAGGCACGGTACTCATCTTGTTACTTGGCTAAGAGAGCTAGCATTGTCCAATGACATTTCCCATGGTCATGTGGCCAGCATGGCTATATGCCAAAGGAGCACAGAACACACTTACCTTCCCACTGAAGTGGTACCTATTAATCTACTCGCATTTGCATGATTTTATTTCTTTAGAGTCCTGACCCTGATATTTTGGCCATTTATTAAATGTTCCTTTTGGTGATGATTTCGTTAGGTCCCTCTTTATCTGGCCCCAACTTGCCTTCAGGTTTTAAAACCATAAATCCTCAGACTAGTTTCTTAGAGCCCCAGATAAAGATACAATTTTGCCCAAATTATTAAAAATGCATCATGGCTGATGGGACACTGTCATAAATAACTTCGTTGCCCTTCATTGCCCTGCAAAGTGTGGTTTACTACTCTCACTCTCTCAATATAAAAGAAAGACAATAAGTAAAATCCTGCAAACTTATGTCCAATTTTTGTACCTTAAACTTTTAGATTAGAAGTATTTAGAGAATATTCTGGCTTCCGAACAAGCAGGTTTTAGATCAGGGTGTTCCACCTTGGATCGATGTGCAATTTTATTCCATTTAACTGAACAATATTCTAGCCTTACCAAAGATGTCCATTATGTTGCCTTTATTGATTTAAAGGGAGCTTTCAGCTCAATTATCTGTGACAGACTATGGAGGAAATTAGCTGCAACATCCATTCATTGTTGTCTTCTCAAGATGATAATGTTGTGGCATCAGAATACTACAATGCTGGTTAAAGGCAATTTTACTAGGGATCTAACTATTCCCATCCCTCTCCACAGAGGAGTCAAACAGGGCTGTATTCTTGCCCTTTAAATATTCAATGATTGTGGCCCTTTCTGACCACAAATTTCGCCCACCAACTTTTGTTCTTTCTCTGATTTTGATTCTGTTGTATGCAGATTTTCACATACACAGCCACTTTATCTGTAATCAGGGGGACCTTTGCCGCGGCCTAGCTGCCTTAGAGCCCTGCATTTCTATGGAATTTCTTAACATTAATTATTCAAATCTAAGGCTCTAGTTTTCTCTAGAAAGCATTTTAATTCCCTATTAAATAGAAAATAGCTTCTACATTGAAGAAAGTGAGAATGCACATAGTTACCAAGTTCTACCTTACATGTTGAATGTAATCTGTATAAATTAGGACTTTTCATGGCTTAAATTTTCATAATTTGTTCCTTTACTGCTTCTCATGTCAGTAGATAAAAAATTTTCAGAACGTTGGGTTCCAACTTGTGATAATCAGACTTGTTATTCTGGCACTGCCCACACATTTGCAAACCTATCACATTGGCAAATTCTGAATCATCAAAAGGATTAGAAAATTGTTCTGAAAACATAAAAAGAAATTTAAGATCCCCAAGGAAGTGATACTGTGAGCAACGGCACACTTCAAATTTTTGCCTTGCTATGGAAATTAATTTATTTACAGCAAAATCTACTGCATGGAATGAAGCCTCATGGTGTCCAGAGTGGCATATTTCTTGTTCATGGAAAACAAGATTTCAAGAGTTATTTTTTTTAAATTGTTTAAAGCAGCATGCTTTTACAACTTTTAATGGATGGCTACTGAAGGTCATGCAATCCCGATGCTTTCATATAATGTCAATAGAAATTGATAATTAAAATCTGCCGCTCCGGGTAGTCAGACCTTGCATATACAATTTGCATGATAAAACTTTATAAAGTGCAATTAAAGCTCTTCTGCCTATGGAATAGAAGATCTGGGTTTCCTTCCATCTTTGAAGCTTTGATTACTGTTCCTGTGCTGGCTTGATTACCAGCAGAGCAGGGGTGGGTTGTAGCCGGCATTACTGCCGGGTCGGTGCGTGCAAATATTTTGTTCGGCGCACATGCACATTTGCACATAAATAGGTCTGCGCATGCGCAAAATATTAAAAAATGGGGAAAACATTGTTTTGCAATGAAAATCATTCTGCGCATGCGCAGAACCAAAAATCAAGATGGCGCTGCTGTAGGAGAACTGGTTCGGGGGTGTGGCAGGCCTGGGTCGCTGCCGGTTCCAGCAACCCAGGCTGCCAAACCACTACCGGTTCAGCCAAACCGGTAGGAACCCACCACTGCAGCAGAAGCATTCTGACACAGGGACAGTAAGATATCCAGCAAAAAGTGAAGGCCCCAAGATCCTATCTTTATAGTGTCAAATTTTGATATCATATGGTAATATCCAATTACTGAAAAATATGTCTCTTGTTTTGTGCTATTTTAATTTATCTTGCTTCTGTTCTTGATTTTATTTTCATAGATGCCGGTGTGAATGATTTCGTTACAATGCATTGTGTATTCATGCCAAATAATCAACTTTGTCCCGCTCTGATGGCTCAATATCCTTTTTTTAAAGTCATATACACCACAGACACACTAAGTCATTTTTTTTCAGCACCATCCTACCTTTGAATGTGAGATACAATCTGGATCGGTCACTGGGACCAGAGGTTGAGTCTTCTGAGCTTTCGGACTCTTGCTGGAGCCCATCCTCAGGGAACTTCTCTGTCACCAGAATATGTGAGATAGTGAATGTGTCCTCTCATCAGGACCTACATTCTGATGAGAGAGAAGTAGATGGGCTTCAGCAAGAGTCCGAAAGCTCGGAAGACTGAACCTCTGGTCCTGGTGACTGACTCAGATTGGATCCCGCAACATTACCCTGGGACCCATTTATTTGCCTTCATTTGTAATTTTGAATGGTTGTTAAACAAATGGTCATAATTGAGGGCTATCTGTAGCTTGTAAACCCAAGGATTCTTCAAACTATTTTGCAACTATTTCAAACTGTTATTCTTTGCTTCTCCTCCAATTTTAACTCTACTCCAGTGTATCCTTTTTTTTTTTTTTACTGGAAAGTCAAATTTTTATCATTTAAAATAATACAGATATATTGTTTTCCCACCTATTATCAATTTTTTATTTCAGCATATATAAGCATAAGTGAGCTTGGACTGGGTACTGTTCTGCTACTATAATAAGCAAATACTATTTTTAAAGATTGATAAATATTAATAAGCAAAATGAGGGATCCTATTTAAGTGCATTCAAGCTCACTTTATACAGTAAAGTGTATTCCAGTACAGACTGGAATAAAATCCTTTTTTTCTGCCAAAAACTAAAGATCTGCTATTTTAATTTCATTTTTATTAGTTCTCCCAAATTTGAGTTTGCAATTAAAATGGCAAGTAATATTCACCCTTTTTAGGTAAAGGTAATCCAGACATGCTTGCTAGTTGTTTAGGAGCGATGCTCATCTCTGTTTCTAAGCCAAAGAGCCAGCACTGTCCAACGACATCTGTGTGGTCATGTGGCCAGCATGACACAACATCAAAGGCCCAAGGAACACAGTTACCTTCCCACCAAAGGTGGTTCCTATTTTTCTATTTCCATTTTTTATGTGCTTTCGAACTGTTAGGTTGGCAGAAGCTGGGACAAGTAAGGGGAGCTCACTCCATTACACACCACTAGGGATTCAAACTGCTGAACTGCCGCC